GTACAGTGGGCACATGTTGGGCTGTTAACCGCAAAGCCAGCAGTTCGAAACCACCAGCTGCTCCTTGGGAGAATGACGGGGCTTTCTGCTCCCGTAAAGAGGTACAGCATGGAAAGACGCAGGGGCAGGTTTGCCCTGTCACTGGGGTCATGGGTCGCTGTGGGCTGACATCGACTGGAGCACAGTGAATGTGGTTTGGATTTTCCCAGAGGAGATCGCCAGGACTTTCTTCTGAGGCACCCGTCGGTGGGCTCAAACCTCCAAACTTTCCTTGAGCATCTGGCCTGTTAATGGCTTGCTCCTCCTCCCGAGTCAGGACCCCCAAAGGCTAAAATGATGTGCTAAATCACCTGGGGGCATTCATTTGTAGGCCTGCCTGGGGGCGAGGGGGGTACATCACAGAGGAAGACCACCTGGTGCAAACCCCGGCATTTCACAGGACCTTGCAGCTCAGAAGTCCAGTGCCATGCTTTAAGACTTCAAACCCAAGCTCACCGAGGCACCAGCCCCGAAGGGCGGCCTCCGCTCCTCAGGCATGCACAGCCTCCTTAGTGTCCACGGCATGAAGGCCCGCTCCTTCTCGGCGAAGGCCGGCTCTGGGGCTTCCTCTCTGATGTTAGCATCTCTGCCGGGACTCCCCTGTCCTGCGAGTAATCACTGACTCTGAATGGATCTCTTTTAATCTCCACCAAAAGCCACACATGATCCCGGGGACAGGGGAGCGGTAGGGTCTGTGGGCACCTGGCCCGGGAGGTGCAGAAGTGCACATAATGGCGTGCTGCTTGGCCCTTCTGCAGCTGCCTGAGGGTGGGGGTGGGAGGCTGCCCCAGCAGAAAAGGAAATCCCCTGGCCCTGACTCACTGACACCATCAGAGTGCCCGGACCCTATGGAGAACTCAGGGCCCCTGTGCGTTTCTGAGTGGAACACTTTACGGGGGTGGAAAGCCTTATCTTCCTCCCTCCAGCAGCTGCTGGTTTCCAACTGCTGACCTCGTGGTGAGCAGCCCAACATGTAACACACCCCGCTGAACGGACGGAAAAAACAAACTCACACTCACTGCCATTGAGGCAATTCTGACTCACAGCAACCCCGTAGGACAAGGTAGGGCTGGCTCTACAGGTTTCCAACACCTCGGGCGACGCTTCACCAGAGTAATGGGCGTTTCAGGACTTGCTCCCACTGGGCTGTCAAACAACAGGGATGAGACTGCAGGGAGTAGGGACACACAGAGTGTAACTGAACTGTAACTCAGGAGCCCCCTGCTGGCATAGTGGGGGAAGCACTGGGCTTCTAACCACCAGGTCAGCAGTTCGAACCCACCAGCAGATGGGAGGGTAAAAGGTGTGCCAGTCTGATTCTGTTAGGTCTGGGAACCCTGTGGGGCAGTTCCCCCTCTGTCCCACTACCAATTGGAATCAAGTGGATGGCGGTGGGCTTCCCTGTGACAAACACATAAATGCCGGGTTTCTCTTGCTGGAGGCTCGAGTGTGCATGGCAAACAGGTGCTATGAAGACAGAGCCCTGCTTGCAGGCAGCCCACATGGTGAGGTGACTTGGCTCCTGGGGCCCAGCTGTCTCTCTGGCCAGCTGTCTCTCCATATGGCTGACTTGCCACTCAAAAGGGGCAGGAGACAGCAAAATAGGCAGCTTGCACAGCTGAGACAGCACCCAACAGGTGCCAGGCTCGGAGCAGGGTGAAAGTTGCTGAGATTCAGTTTTTCTACCAAAGACGGCTCTCTCTGGCTTTCACTTCCTTGTCTCAGAAGTCTGGCACTTGCTGGGATAAACCACTTGGGCCGAAAGGTGGATATGAAAGAAGTGGGGAGGCATACGCCCTCCTACTGAGGAACTGATGATTTTTTTTTTTTTAAGGGAAGAGAGAAACACGCTTTAGGAGATCTTGTGTCAACATGAAATGTACTGGCCCCCCAAAACTCACTGCCATGTAGTCAAAGCTGACTCACAGTGCCCCTAACGGCACGGCAGAAGTGCCCCTGCGGAGTTTGCAGAGTGTAAAGGCAGTGGGAAGCCTCCTCTTTCTTTTGCGGAGCGGCTGGTGGTTTCAAACCACAGTACCTTAGGTTAGCATCCCAACTCGTAACCACTACGCACCAGAGCCCCTTGTGATGGGTCTAGGATACTAAAACCGTTGGTTTCTGTTTGCTCGTTTTACGTCTGCATATGTATCTGTCCCGGAGCACCGACCCCCCCAGGTGTGTGCTTGCTTAAAGTTGAGCAGCTGGGCTTCTGCGCGCCCCTCTCACCGTCCATCCCTCGGGCACGGCGGGCTCTTTCCCGGGTTCTAAGAAACCGGGTGGGCATGGGTGTGGGGGCAGTCCTTCCCACACCGGGCAGATCCCGGTCTCCACGGGGCACTAGGGCCCGGGACTGGACCGATCGGGAGCCGGACCTCCCTGTGGAGCCCCTGCCCGGGCCGGGGGTCCACGGGTTCGAGCCCGCCCTTGGGTCAGCGGGGCAGAGAGACCGCGCGAGGAGAGAGGAACGAGATAGTACCGGCTGGTGGGTGTCCAGCTTTCGTCTCCTGCTTCCCTTCGGGAGGCGAAGACATGGCGCGGACTGGAACGATCGAGGCGACGGTGGCTGCGGCGGCGACGGCTGGCGGGATTAAGCGGGTGGGTCCACAGGCGGCAGCGGGTGCCAGCCACGCCCCCGGCCCCAGAGCCGACGTGGCGCAGTGGTCCGGTCCGACCCCGCCCCGCCAGCCCGCCCCGGGCGTGCGTGATGGCGTCACTAAGCCCGGCCCCGCCCCGCCTCGCCCGGGAGCCCTGAGGGCGAGCATGCGCAGTCGGCAGCGCCACGTTGGAGGTGGTGTCCAGGAGCGCAGAAGAATGGAGGATGGAGGATGGAGGATGGAGGATGGGGCGGGGCGCTCTGCGGCTGGCGTGGCAGCTACGGGGGCGGGGTTGGCAGGGGACTTGTGGGAGACTACAAAGGTCCCAGTCTGAGGCCCGGGGCGGGACACACTCCACCGGCTTCTAATCCCCAGAGTGGGGAGGCACCTTGGGACTGCGGGGTCTCCACCCAGGGCGGGCCAGCTGTAACATGCCATTAACCACCTCCCACTGCAGGCCCTCAGTTAACGTTGAAATGAGGCCCCAGATGGGAGCAAGCTGGGGGTTTCAAAGAGGAGTGGGGCTGCTGACTAAAAGGTTGGCAGTTTGAAACCACGAGACACACCGAGGGAGGAAGACGAGGCTTCCTGCTCCCGTAAAGAGTTACAGTCTCAAGAGACCCACACGGGCAGTTCGCCCCTGCCCTATGGAGTCGTCAAGAGTCAGAATCAATCCCATGGCATCTGAGTCTTTGGAGGGGGCATAGCTTGTTAGAGGTAGTTAGGCAGGGCAGCCTTCACCCTGGCCACCAAGGTAGCGCTGTGCACCTGGACAGGTGTGCGTCTGTGCCTGATTCCCTTGAGATGGCTTGCTGGATCACACCCCTCCCTTCCGAAGCACAGCCACGTGGTCCTCTTCTGCACCATCAACCACGCCTGCTGGATTCACAGAGAAGTGTCCTTAAGATGTCTGTCACGGCCACCTCTGTACCTCAGACAAGAAAGCTGCTCAGCAATGCCTGGGGAATGTCACCCCTCCCATCCCTGTCAACCTGGCTCAAACTCTTTGGCCTTCTCCACCCCACGAGGCTGACGCCAACCTCAGAAACGCCTTTTGTCAAGGCCACTCCTGGCCTCTGACCAAACCCACTAGTCAATTTTCCACTCATTCTACCTGCCCTTAGCCCAGCTGTCGTGTCCCCGTGAAGATGTGCGACATCCCTGCCTTGCTCACTCCTCAGTTCCTCTGTTGCTCACTGCCGGTCCCTTCAGCACTGATCCACTCCCCCATCTTCACTTTGCTGAGAGGACCTCAGGTAGGCTGGCAGCTCTCTGCAAGCCTGCCGCCACTCCACCCCTGACCTTTGGACTGAACTTCAGACTCCTAGCCCCACCCCTTCCCCCCATGTCCGTCCTGCGGTGTGTAACAGCGCTGTAGGCATAGAGAGGGAAATGGCGATCTGAGAGGCGCTTCTCTGTGCCTGCACTTCAGCGGCCGCCACACCACCACAGCAGGTTAGCTGTTAGTTGGATGCTGAGCCTGCTGGCAGGTGTCAGCAGAAGAAAAAACCCTGACATGGGTTTTCTTCCAGAAACACTGCCTCACCAACCCTGAGCAAGAAAACCGCAGACGCTTTGACCGACGTGAGGAGACTCTGCCTATGCCCAACCAATAAACCCACTGCCATTGAGTTGATTCTGACTCACAGCAAGCCTACAGGTGCCTGAGACTTTACAGGAGCTGAAAGCCTCATCCTTTCTCCACTGTGGTCGCTCTGTGGCTTCGAACCACAGACCTGTGCTTAGCAGCACAGCTTGGAACCCACAACTCCACCTGGGCTGCTTTATGTTGTGCGCAAGAGTCGTAGGGTTAAACACTGGTGTCTTAATCTTCGAGCAGCTTCCAAACCGTCCAACCCACTGCCGTGGAGTTGATTCCAACTCGTGGCGATCTGATGGGGCACAGGAGAACTGACCCTTTGGATTTCCAAGGCTGTACATCCTCATGGGGACAGGAAGCCTCATCTTCCTCCGGAGGGGCAGCAAGTTAGCAACCCAATGCATAACCCACTGTGCCATCTCCCTCACTCATTCCCTGCCATTGAGTTGATTTCAACTCACAGACCCTATAGGACAGAGTAGAACCACCCCCGTGGGTTTCCGAGATTGTGACCCTTTACAGGAGTAGAAGCCTCCTGTTTCTCCCTTGGAGAATCTGATGGTTTCAGATTGCTGTGGTCCATAACCACTGGGTGACCAGAGCTCCTTAGAATGGCTTCTAAAGAGTACAAACCCACCACTCCAGGTGAAAAGAGACATCGTGCCATGGTTGAATTGGCAGCATGTTCCTCCCTTAACCAGTTGCTTCCCAGTCGGCTCCACCCCATAGTGACCCGCCTGGGTGTCTGAGAACTGAGCTTTTACATGACTAGTATTGGGGAAACAGACTGCCAGGCCTTTCTGCTGAGGCACCTCTAGGTACATTCAAACCGCCAGCCTTTCAATTAGCAAGTGTGCCTATTCACTGTTTTCATCCATGGATTTCTTTATCCCAGGGACTCCCATTTGTCCCCCTTGAGTGGTCCAGAAAGATGCACCTGGTGAGCAAATGCATCTCAGGATCAATGGCATAGGACACGTCTTTGGGGCAGGTGGCAGTTAGATTTTGTGACCACTTGGCCCTTGTGTAGGGGTGGAGGCTAACCTGTCAATCAGGCCACAGCCTGATGATGCCTTCTGGGCGGTGTGGCCTTTTTATAGGAGAGACACAAGGTCCCCTTCTCTGTCTTTTCGCTTTCCTGCTTGCTGGGACCACGCATCTGCCGAATTTTGAGAGTTAACTTCCTGCCATGTTTCCACGGGCCTTGGCTCCACGCAGGTCTGTACCACTGGCCTGAGCTCTCCCTGCTTCTCACTTCGCCTTTCTGTGTCCTTGGCCCGCAGTGACGTGAGGCTGAAGAGGATTCTGGCTGGCACCAGACCCACGGACTTGAGTTCAACTGGGCTGAGCTAGCTTCTTGATATAAAGTGCTTTCTTCTCAATGGATGAGTGTCACAGGCCCGGTTTCTCTAGACCACCCGGCCTGACACGGGGCAGCAGGAGACTTTTGGGGGAGCAGTTGAGTTCGTGGTGTGGGGCTTCCGAGAGGGGTACAGACTATGCTGCCTGGGACTCTCCAGAGTGGCAACCCTCTGCACTTCGTGTGCTCAAAACACAGGGCTTGCTGTCCCTACCCACCTGCCCATGGCTTCCTATCGAAATGAACGGACTTAAATTTACAAAGGGGAGGGGCAATTGTGGACACCTCTACATGGCCTCGAGTGACATCCAGAAGAGAAGCCCAGGAGTGTACCCCGCCCCCTCCCACCCTGCTCCGATTTATCAGAAGCCTAGGGGCAAAGTCATCTGAGGGCTAATCCAGTCCTGGGGGACAGTGCGTGTTACAATGTAGCTGCCTACTCAGCTGCCGTCTTCCCCAAAGGAGTGCTTTTGTTCCAGGAGGCAATGAATCTAGCTTGGGAAACAAAACCCCCCCAAACACCCCACCACCCCCACATTTCCCAGCCACCCTGGCAGCTGGGAGTGGCCGAGTGACACCGTTCTGGCTGCTGAAATCCCAGGGGGAGTCTGCGAGGAGATTTCTGGGGACGTTCCTTTGGCATTGTGGATATGAGCCTCCTCCTGCCCTCCTTGTGACGTGGAGGTTGCCCCTGCCTTGAATTCAGACGGGGGGCAAAGAGCACAGCAATCACATTGCAGCCACGTTCACCCGGGGGGTGAAAACCACATGGCGGAGAGGCAGAGCAAGAGGTCGAAGGCGTGTGGGGACGTTGGTGGCCTGGAGAGGCTGCACACGCAGCGGTGGGCCCCCTGTGGACTTATTTGTGGTGGGATAAAGACAGCCATACTCTTGCTGTTGTTTCCTTACGTGTAGACAAACACACCCCTAATGCTCAGGACTTGCCAGGCTCCGAACAATGGGGTCCGACTCCCCTCTCTGGCCACATCATGGCTTTTCTGATGCTCCTTGAATGTGATAAGCCTGGCCACTGGTCCTACCCTCCACCTGGAACTATGACACACACACACACAACCAGAGCCTTGCATGTTTGACTCTGTCATCCTATAATTAGTCACCCCTCAGATTAATTATCTGAAGAAGGTAGCTGTGATGGTTAGCACTTGTGCCAACTAGACACCCCTGGGAGAAGGTAGGGGTGGAGCACAAGCTATCAATCAGGTTGCAGACTGATGACGCCATTGGAAGTGTTACTTTTGGTATAAGACAGATACTCTGAGCAGAGTGGAGCTCTCTGTTGCCCCCTTCGCCTTCTCCTGAATCTGGAAACTCTGTCTGGTTTGTCAGTCTCCTGTTGTGTTGCCTACCAATCACAGGAGCCATCAGCACACTGTCGACCTTGGATTCATTCAGCCAACCTTGGACTCACTTACCTCTGCATCCACCAACCTGTGGCCCTCCTCCTTTGTCTTTCTGCTTCCTGTTCATCAGCCTCCATAGCTACACAAGTCAGAGAAGCCTTCAGCTCACATCTGACTGATGAGCTTGAACCAGAACGGACTTGCCTCCTCCTACAACGGTGAAAGCCATTTATTGCAAGAAGTCTCTTTCTAGACACAACACCTACAAGCATCACTGGATTTGCTTCTCTAGAAAATCAAACCTGACACAGTAGCCCAGGCATCCCTTGACACCCCACCCTGCCTTTCTGACATGTTGCATCTTCATCTGAAGTTCCTCATACATCTGTTATGCTTCTGTCTGGAAAGAATATGAAATATACCCTGGGCTGCCAGAAGATTACCTTTCATCCTCCTTTACCAGTTCTGACTCCAATCTCTCCTTTCCAGGGCACTCTTTACTTCTCTGTTGGGTTCTGTTTCCTGGTAATGGCCACAGAGAACTCAAGATTATGAACTCTATCAATGAAGTTATGTAATAGGTTACAATTCAGGATCAGAAATGCTCAGGATACAGTTCTTTGGTCAGGACAGCTTCTTCTCAGCTGTGCCCAGGTAGGCCTCTCTCTAGCCCTCATCTCCTTGGCCTGGTCT